CACGAATCTGACATGATGGAGCCTAACAGACCTCGTTTAATATGCATACACTTTTTTTGTTTAACCTGTGCTTTAAGCATACCTTTTTCTACCGATGAAATCATAAATTTACAAAAAAAAATTGACGAATTGCCTAAAACAAAATGCATATAGCTTTTAATAGACTTTCAAAGTGTCTTCGTAGTATGGAATTTATTTCGTAAAATGTTAAAGGTTTGAAATTCCTGTAACGTCAAATATTTAGAATCAGTAACAGAGTTTAAAAGCTACATAATTTAAAAAAAAAAATTAAAGAAATAACTTCGACGGCGCGTTATATTGAATCTAACAACGTAAGGCGTTATCGAAAGTGTTCATTTGGTGCTTTACTAATAGTCGACATTGGTCATGATAGCAAAGAAAACATGGATTACCTCGTTAGGTGCTTACTTATTTTCCCAGTACATATGTATATGTAAAATTAATTAACTTATAAGAAAATTTTTCAAAAAACTCTCACACTTTTCTTATAGAACGCTGTTAGTGGTGCACCCTATCTATTTTTAAGAGCAAAAATATTAATGTGCGTAAGTACTCAATGCGATAAAAGGCAGCGAACAATTAAAAACAATGTGCTAAAATTGTATGACTTTTTTACGTTCATACAACAAATGGGTATCACAAAATGTGCTAAAAGTAGAAAACTAAATTCCAACTAATAAAAAATTAAGCTCTTAAACGAACTAAAATACGAAACATATGTATGTAATCTAGACATAGAATTCATAACAAAGGCATAAGAACCAAAACAAAGTAATAACTGCAGCCAGTAAGATATTTTTTTTTATTCCTACAATTTTTTGGAATATATGTACATAAATATGTACCCACTGGGATGTCGTCATGTATAGTGATAAAGCCAGGAAACATTTTTCTCTTTTTTTTGCCGAGGCTAGGGGTCGCCTTGTTACATTTTTCGGTGACACCTATATATATACATACATTCTGCCGAATGAACTATTTATAAACAGTTCTTCTACTGGACTAATGGAAATACTCCCTAAATAAAGTTTAATGATTTTTGGCGAACTTTAATTTACTGCCGTTGGGTTGGTCGAAACTGAGATCCGCTGGGTAAGTGCAGAACGGGTTACTTGAGGTCAATGAACTTTAGAAACGAAAAAATGTCTGCTCTGGATAAGAGCATCGATTTATCACACTTTAGGATCCCACTGTAAATGCCGCATATATGTAGGACGAAAAATTTAAAAGATTTGGCCAAATATAAAAAACTAATTTTATCGAAACTACCTTACAAAAATACTTCAGACTGGGGGATGTAAGGTGAATTTATTTTCAGGTGCGGTCTAATCTACCATGTACAAATGTGTATGTTTACCTATATGTGCATTAGAGTTATCTGGTAAGATATCCGTAAGTCCAGATAAGTCATCGTCACACCAAGTGGGTACAACTAATATATGGGTCATTCTATGCAATATTTACACCCCAAAATTTTTTTTGGGGTGAAGTATATATTTTTACATTCTTTATCGAAAAAAAGAAGCTACCTATTTTTTTATTTCGTCATGATATTCGAAAATCTCGAAAAACAAGTTCCCGAAATTTTGAACTCACGGAGAATTATCTTTTTTCATTTGTTTGCTGTTGATAAACTATTTGTCGGAGAAAATCAGTTAAGGTATCAAAATGTGCATAATAACCTCGGCTTTCCATGAGAGTGTGAGATAGATTAAAACAAAAAATAATATAAAAAAAGAACTTTTTAATATACAACGCTTTTATAAATGGACTAAAAAGTAGAAAATAATATTTCTCAGTCCCATAGAAAGTCGCAAAAGTCGTTATAACCAATTTATGAGATTGAAAATGAAAAGCGTGGGGCGCATATAATAGCCACCTGAATTGATATGAAGGGTAATATATGTTCATATGTATGTGGATATATGAATAACGACCGCTTAAAATCTATCTCAAATTTGTACTTTCGCTGAAGAAATTTTAGGTCTATGTTATGTAGTTTGCCTATTGTCAATTAAATATAATGCTTTGTATTGCATGCGCCCCACGCTTTTCATTTTCAATCTCATAAATTGGTTATAACGACTTTTGCTAAAATTTCAAAATCAAAAGTTATCAAAACAAATTCTATAATTCAACGATATTAATAGAAAGGTGCACACACATGCATTTACATATGTATGTACATACAAACGAGCACCAATTAATTTTATTTAAAGAATGGCGTGTCGTCTATTTCCGCTGTAGCGAACGAAGTACATAGGGCGGCATCTAGATGTCATCTACCTCGCCCTATTCACTACAGATGTCGCCCTATGCACTAGACTTTTTATAGGAACTTTTAAAGAAATGGCGTGTCGTCTATTTCCGCTGTAGCGAACGTAGTACATAGGGCGACATCTAGATGTCATCTACCTCGCCCTATTCACTACAGATGTCGCCCTATGCACTATGCTTTTTATAGGAACTTTTCAAAGCAAATGTGGTGTCGGACACACAACATTGAAAGTTTCTGGATCCACAACATTGAAAGTTTCTGGACACACAACATTGCAAGTTGATAAAAGCGTTGTAAAAAGGCATTAAAAATAGATTTTTTTTATTAACTTCATCATGTTTGATATTTATTTTTTTCCACCTGAATAGTTGTCAAACTTTATGGAGTAAGCTGTAAAAATTTTAGACTTTGACTTCTCCGTGAGTATAAAATTTCGGGAATTTTTTTTTAGATTTTCGAATATCATGACGAAATAAAATAATAAGTGTCTTCTTTTTTTCGGTGAAGAATGTAAAAAAAAATATATTTCACCCCAAAAAAAAAATATTGAGGTGTAAATATTGTATGGAATGACCCATATATACAATATAATTTTAATCACGTGATTAATCGATTCAAGTATGTATTACATTCTCGCTTATCAATCGAATTCTTTAGGCTAGGTACATAACCCAGCGGATTAAAATCGCTAATAGCTATCAAATATACAAATTCATATGGCGGTGTTTATGGTGCAGCGATTAACAGTCACTAGCTTACGACAGTAGAACGATGTACTCAGTTCCAAGTAACCGGTTATTAAAGCACAAGAGGTATGAAATGACTTAGACCATTTTCAAAATTATGGTCACATATCTGTGTTCGTATGGAAAAGTAGCTTATGTCTAAAGGCTGGCTTTAGTATAAATCGGCATTCGCAGCATACGATTGCGAATAACTCACTGGCGCTGAACCGTTGAACAACTTTTGGCAAATAAACGTGCAAGAAATAGTTCCGATACTAGCAAGTCAATATTCTTACCAAGTTTCATCAAAAAATTCTTTGCCGTTTAAAGAATAAAGGGAATGCCGCATTATACTAAAGCCAGCCTTTCGACATAAGCTACTTTTCCATACGAACACAGATATGTACATATGTATGTATGTATGTACGTACAGGGTGGTACACATATTGGTTTCTTTTTAAAAATCCAAAACAAAATGAACTAAAAAAAAACATTTTTTTCGGTATATTATTGGCTTATTCGAATGAGCAAATATTCCAATTATTTGTGGAACACGATTTCATTCATGTGGCTACCTCGGCTAGCTTCACAGTAGCGCATCGTCTTAACGCAGTTTTCCAAGACCTTGGTGACGATTTCTGGCTCTATCTCACATATGGCTTGCTCGATATTCGCCTTGAGGGCCTGAATCGTTGATGGATTTTTCCCATAACCTATCGTTGCCTATCTGCACTTATTTTCAACATATTTTCAGTGGAGATAAGGCATTTTTGAAGCTAATTTTAGATAGGTCGTTCTTCAACCAAATTCTGAAGCAGGTCGTTCTTGAACAGTATTCTGAGATAGGGCGTTTTCGAACCGGCTGTAGAGATAGTTCAATCATCCACTCAGCCGTCGATATACGCTCAAATGTTTTCTTCATTCCAGCGTAGTTCCAAATAGGGTAGCCACCTAATTTTTAGAGTAAACAATTTACTTATTTTGTAAGATTCAAAAGGCATATTATTATTTTTTTCCAAAATTTTTGATATCGAAACCTTGAAAACTGTAAAAAGTATATGCACTCCGAGCAAAGCTATGTCAACCTGGTACTAATACGAGTGTGATTGAGAACTTCATATGGTATGCAACTAGTCAATTTAATCTAACCCAAGCTCGGATTTGGGTATCGTTAATTTACAGAAATTGATAAATGTAAAAGGATAACGTAGATAAATACCACTCGAGCTACTTTTGCAGGTCCTTTCCCGCTTTAACTACAGATTTCATTGCGACTTTTGGCATAAAGCCAGTATTTTTATTGCTACTTTCTGATGAAAAACCAAGGCGGTCTCCTATGAGATCAACACTGGGTTTTTGATCTTTTAAGAATCTCCAGTTCACTTCATCTACAAACTTTTCCGCGCATCGTCCTCAACCCACTCTAAAATTTATTTCAACATTTTTGTTATCTATCGAATAATGGAGGTTAAGACTTTCAATGAAAATTAAATGGATTGGCGCCTTAGAAAATCATGTTATGCTTCTATACATACATGCAGTAAAAACAATAAATTCCAAATGATATATTCACCATAAAACTAAGTATTATCATATGTGCTAAATTCAATTCACGTTTCAAAAAACAAACGGCTACGCGATGAGTAACGCGCCAACAGCTCGCATATTCACACATAATAAAGTGGCTCACCCCGATGTTTCAATGCAAATACTTAAATATGTATGTACTTACATCTGTGTATACAGACATATTTAAATACGAGTATCATACGCAGATGCAGATGTGAATATCCAACCTTTGTGTTTTACAACATTGTGAGTCAGCGCAGCAATAACAAAGTAAAATATACCAATTGTTTACTTCCATATGCTTCTTTCTTAACAACATAAACAATTGGTCATTTTGAGATTGCGATCATTTCCAAGCAAAAAAAAAACGTAACCAAAAAGCGCTACTTTGATTTTCTTATGTCACGAAATTTTATTTATCTCCAAACTTAACCAAATAAGCGAAGAAGCAATGGTACTGACGACGTCTCTTTCACTTCTTTCTTGACATTTGCTGATTTTTCAGCTTCAGGCGCTTCAGCGATGACTTCAAGATTTGGATTGTTGAAAGATTTCGTTGAACCGAAATTAAGGCTTCGAGAAGTTGCGACGAAAACAATTGTGCCATTAGGTAGTAGGACGGGGAACCTGCCGCCAAAGGCAAAACCAGGAAACCCACCGAAACCAGGAAAACCACCAAAACCTGGAAAAGCACCAAAACCGGAAAAAGCACCAAAACCAGGATAGCCACCGTAGCCCGGATAGCCGCCATAACCAGGGTAACCACCATAACCAGGATTACCGCCATAACCAGCATTACCGCCATATCCACCATTACCGCCATATCCACCAGCGTAACCGCCATAATTATAATCACCACCATAAGCTGGCCGATGGTACAGAGGCTGTGGTGTTGTGTATGGCTGATGTGTGGGCACAACTACTTGCAGATATGGCTTGCCGCCACCATGAAATTTGGCTGTTCCAAGTAACTGGTCTCTATGATGCGCATGCTGCTCTTCTTTGGTAGGGTTAGTTTCACAGGATTTTGCGGCTGTAGATTCCAAAACGGTGTTGGTAGTCGGTTGGCGGTCGTTCTTGACTTCTTCTTGTGCCCGTGCTTCCACGGTAACGGTTTCAGCTGGCGCTTCAGTCGCAGAGATGGTAATTGCTATCCTTTCCACTTGTTTTTGTTCCTTTTCAGTTAATTTATCCAAATCCTTTTTTACTACTGCTCGTTCTGTTATAGCCTTTTTAGCAACATTTGCCTGGGTATGCGCTTCATTCCAGGAGTTGTTGTCTAGTGCAACCACAAAGGCAACTGAAAGCGCTAGAAAAATATGGAAAAAATATTTATACAAACATACCTATTTAAATTTGAATTAAAATTCTTTCCCACTTACCCAAAGGTAGGCAAAAAACTATGCTCCACTGCATCTTTCCAAAAATGTACTACCCATTCTGAGTGCATTTCTCTCGCTTTTATACAAAATCTGTGATCTGTGGCATGGAAAAATTTTTACACTGAAGCTAAAGATTTTGTTGACATTTCTATGTTAAAAACATGTAAATTATTATAATAAATTTGATAAAAAAAATTAGTTAATCCCGTCTTGTACCAAAAAGCGATTCAGAACTATGTAAATTTTTAATAGACCTTTTTGAAATACTTATCTACATATATATGTATGTCCATATCCATGTTTTACATATGTAAATGCATCGTTGCAGCCTATTTGAAATACTAAATATTACCTCTTAGTTGGCTCCATGCAAATGTCATAACAGATTATGGCCTCGTTTGTTCTTCAACAGCATGGCTATATTACCATACTAATCGCTTTTCGATAAGTGAGAAGCTATTTATGTATTTACGGTAACTTTCTTCAATATTAAAAAAAAAAAATAGTTCTGAGAATTACTCAGACATAATAATAAATAAACAAGTAAAGAAGTATGTATAAGTTCAAGCGAAACCGAATATTTTGTACCCGGCGCTTGTATTAAATATTGTTTTTTCGCCTTTCTGTAAGGCCTTACAGAAAAGAACTTTCAAAAAATCTCTTCTGTAATTAAGTTTAGTATCCAGTTCTTAAGATAACGGTCAAGAAAAAATGTGCAATTATTTCGTGAGTGTCTCCAAAGGAATTTTGACATCTACATCTAATATTTCGCAGCCTGTTGCCTCACTATTTCCTCAAGAAATAATGGAACGGGCATATATTTAGTCTGTTCCAATAGCAATCCTCTTGACAGGATTTAGTCAGAACTTACAGGAAGTCGTTCCTATTGACATAAAACCTGTAAATGGTAACACTTTTGAGAGAGTAACTGAGCAACTGTTCCTAGTCAGTAGTTACAGGATTTAGTCCGGAGTTTTTTTTTCCTGTAAGTTCATGAAAAGTGTCAAGCGATCAGCTGATTTACATGTGCAAACAAAAACAGAAGTCGGTGAAAGCAAAGAACCTTATATTTGTTAAATAAGGGAAGTAAACAACGAAATATTTGAGTATGTATAGATTTTAATAAATCGTTAGTGATATTTCAGCCAAATCAGTGTTGTGCCAATGACATGTAAACAAACCGACTGACGTTTTTACAGGAAATAGTGCTTTTTGCGTTCCCGTGCACTTCTGCATCTGTTCTCCTTTTACTCTCACTTGAGAGAGTAAAATTGTAATTTGACAGTTCCACAGGTTTTAGTCCGAAGTTCAAAGGAACAGACAAATTTCTGTTGCAAACATGGATTGCCTTATTCTCGTTTTCGACAGAAAGCTTTAGAAAACCGTAGTATAATATAGGGATGGGTAGTGAGGGTTGCAGTTCGATTTTTGCCGAATTTCGAATATTGTCCAGCCATTCGATTATTCGATTCGAAATTTGGTGTAACAAATTCGATTTTATTCGAATTTTCAACATTTTTTTCTCTGAAAATTTAAAAATTTGTAAGAATGGTAACTCAAATCGAAAAAGAGATTCAATTGAACTTACATTAATGTGATTAATTACCCGCACCGCTCTTCTTAGCTTCACAACCATAAATAAATACAAATCAGAAGTATTCTTATCTCAAATAAATATCTCAAAAATATAAAAAAAAACAAAAATTTATCAAATCTATCATGTATGTATTTATTTTAGTATCAATTTAAAAAATTTACAAAATGTTTATTGAAACTAATTTTTTGGGATGTATAACGTGCAGTTCCGCATTATCTCCTTTCCAATGGAAAAGAAATTATCGAAATCGGTCGAGTTAGGCGGTAACATACATAAAAAATATAATAAAAATGAAAAAACAAATAAAAAAAATATTCCGACGAACTGATAACCTCTCGTTTTTTGGAAGTCGGTTAAAAAGCAGCTAAATCGGCCTATAAATAAG